AATTGTGGTCTGACATGCCCTGTTTATAGTTACATTTGATGCCGTGACCAGGACGAAATTTACATGATCGAAGCCTTTGGAGGACAGGAATGTGTGGTAGAACTCTGAGCACTTTTTAAGAACAGGTCGCGAGCGGTGTTGCATGCTGCTTGAAGAAAGACGAAGTGTGCCACTACCAAGGAAGCTCAGGTTTAGAAAACCTGGTCAACTGTCAGGAGTCAATGCGGCGGAGTTGTTGCGAACCCACGGGTGCACTCAGTTGTGCTCTGTTCGCTTCGGGACCATGGGCTGTCCACACTAGATGAGGCTCTACAAGCTGAACTTTTGGATGATCAGTTTGTGGATAGCTGATCGGAACCCCGTGCTAGGGATGGTCAGCATTGCCTGTGCTAGGCGATCTATGGACGTGACCTGTGAAGTGACCAGCTTGGACGTGCCTCCGGTCACTATGGCCGCTTAAGAAGGCCAAAGAATGGCCAAAGGACTAGTACCGTCTTATCACAGTTGGCGATCACAACCATTGTTGACGAAGTGCTAGACTTTGCAGAACCAACTAATAATGGTTGCCAAAATGTGAGACGATTTTGTCTCGATTGTCCCAAAAGTCAGTGGGAAGATACGAAAAATTAAAGATGCGTCATCCAAAGCAGTCCTCATTTGGGTGGCCCTCTGTTAGAAAACTCAGGCCCGAGATGATATTCGTGATCTAGATGGAGCAGTTGTCTTCTTTTTCAAGCAAATGCTAAAATACACCTAATTATCATTTCCATTCTCTATGCTTTCCGTGCTCGGTGGAGACTGATTATTGAACCACAAACAGGCACGAATTTATTCAGGTACCATCTCTGATTTTTTGTTGTTGAGCGTTTCACTTCCAGTTCGCCTGTTTGTTTGTGTCAGGCCTGCTGACCTATCAATTCTCGAGCTGTAGTTGATGGGAAGTCCGAAGCAGGTCATTACACGTCATCAATTCCAATCAGAGTGGCCAGTAGCCAAAATCTTCATTAGCCGGTCCACCAGAATAGTTTCAGGCAATGGAATTTTTTGCTGCTGGGCTTCAAAGATACGTGATCGGTTACCAGCGTTATTCATTGCAGCTTTGTATTTTTGTTACGTTTTCTGACTTTCAAGTAAGGTTTTAAAGTAATACATTTTTGGGAATTTGCTTCAGCCTCAAGCGAATTGTATGTTTGATTCGTTCTGAGTTCAGTTTTGGTCCGCACCCTCTGAGTAGACAGTGCTCAAAATCTCGGATTTATGATTATTCTACCATTCCACCTACTGGGTCAAATCATGATACAAGTGTTTATCTTTATCTTTTTTTTCTCTCTCTCTCTCTCCGGTCTCCTGTTTTGAACGTGCAATAGAGCACACTCATTCGTTCTGTTGCTTGTCAAATATGCACAAAACGGTACAGGCAGTGAGTGAGTATGACTATTGGTTCTGACAAATGGTAATTTGCTTGCACTCTGTTCATTGACTCAGTGAAGGTAAGTTTGCAGGTCCAGTGTTCTTCCACGGCACTTGAAGCGTGTGCACGCTTCTCTCTCTTTCTGTGTGTGTGTGTGTGTGTGTTTGTGTGTTCCCACGATAGATACACAGACAGCGAACGAGAGATTCTGGTCGACAAACCATAAAACTGTCAACATACACTGAGAAATTTAAGTGGATCATGTGTTTCCAAGGTCACGAAAAAGTGGATCAGTCTGAACTAGACGGTATGATTGACTGACACGGATTATATTTCAGTACATTGGACTCATTAGCCACCGATTTATGGAGTAACCTTGTTCTGGAATCATCATCATTATAGTGGTGTGATTAATTCCCCTATCGCCACAACTTCTACCCTGGATTCACCTTTTTAATATTACCAATATTATTATTCCGGGTGAGAAGTGAGAAATATTGCAAAAGATTCTGAAAATGGGCCTCTAAGAAAAATAAGAACTATAGTCCTCTACGAATTCTAAATGGATTGGTTCGATAATAAACTGATCGATTTGGTTTAGTATGAACCATGACGCATATAAAATGAAGATTATTTTACTTTTGTTATCCGTGAACCAAAAAATTGCATTGTGCTCCATCTAAAAGACTCTCTTTCATCTAGCTAGAGTCGAGTAAAGTCAAATTCAGCAATCCTTTTATACTCCCCAAAGGGGTATATCCTACAGCTACTTAACCGTTAAATACGGCCATTGTAAAGTCCAGCCGACGGCACGTTCGAGCGACACGTAGCAACTGATTTCGACACAATTCAAAACAATGTCGATTCCAAACAGCTACGGCACTATATACAACAAAACTAATCAACTTTATAATAATCAAACCTCAGTGGTGTTCATTCTGGGCTCTTACGCTCCCAGATTGAACAACAAATTAATAACTGCAGCTGAATTACAGCAAAAGGTTAGAAACAGAAGATGAGATTACCGAATGCAGTTACGACAAAGTTCAAGATGTCCGACTCACACTGGACGTGACGATGAGAGTCCGA